TTTTTCTTTTTTGAGTTTCATGGAAAACCTGTAATTAAAAACACACAAACATTACAAACATACCTACACATTTACATACAACTTTTATTAATTTTTTTTATATTTATTTTATGCGCACATACATAATTTTATGCATACACAAACATATTAGCGACAAATTATTAGAAGAGTAGGAATATATAATAATATATTTACATTTGCCATTCCAGTTTACACTTCAATTTTATATTTTCTTATTTTCTTAGAATTATATTCATATGTAAGGTAGTTTTTATGTAATTCACTGACTGAAGTTGTTAATATTTCTGGTTTTCCTATAAATTTTAGCTTAAAAATACACTAACCGGTCATCTCTGCATTAAATAAACGCATATATATAATAATATAAATATATATATATATATATATATATATATTCTATTTATATTTATATATGCATATATGTACATACGCAGCCATATAATATTGAATATTTACATATACATTTATTTGTGATAAAATTTTATTATTTACACAGGAATGTCTATAAACGAATTTCCAACGCATTGAGTACGCCCAAAAGTATGCTACGCTTTAAGTAAAGTTTTGAATTACAAAAGCGAAACACGAAGTTCTCCTTTCTCAATATTTCTCAATAGAAAAAATTAAATTAAAGTATCGATAAAAATTGGAGAAAAATCGATTGCACAATTCAACGATTATTTAAATGACGATAACTTAGTAACCGTTTATGGATTAAAAAAATAATGAAGCTCTTCAGAAAAGTTTTAAAATCTAGAAAAATGCACTTTGAAAATAAGTTATAAATTTACGAAACTAAATTGGCATGCATATAACATAATAAAATAAATAAAAAATAAAAAAATACCGAAAAGATAATAATTAAGAAAATAGTTGTTTAGTAACTCAATGATGTGGAAAATCGGTAAAATTAAACTCTCCGCTAATCACTACCAAATATCGATAAAAACTTGGTAAATGAATAAACAAAAAACTGTATATTTAATTGAATAATAAATGATATATATTTTTTTAACAACGACAAACATCTTGAAATAATTTAATATAATATTAAAGAACAATATAAATAATTGTGGTATATACAATATTTTATAGAATTGAATGCAAATATTTTTAATTCATCCTTTGATCGATTTAAAAATGTAGCAAATTATTACGCTCAAAATAAACTTATTTGATATTTAAAATGTGCTTACAAAAAATATGCAGCACACTTTTAGGCGCAATATTTCTGCAACAAATTTTTGATTCATTTCAAAAAAATTTTCCACACTTAAAAATTCCTCACTGCTAACATTATTTAATACCCTAATTATGTATTCTAAAGCCTACATTTGGGCGTTTTTTTTTTTATAAGCAATTCAAATAATTTTCTCATAACTAATTACCATTCAAACTTTTAGTATATTAGTTGTTTTTAAGTAATAAAGTTTTGTAAATTTTTACCCAACAAATGTATAAAAATTTCAGTGAATTTCTACGTACTACTTGTATACATATATATATACTTATGTATTTTTAGCTTTTATACTAATTTTATTTTCTATAAAATTTATTCATTAATGCATAATGTGGGCAATTATTTTTATTTTTTTTTATTTCTAAATTCTATTACTATTTATTATTTTAATAATTGTACGCAAATATTCTTTTGTATAAAATATGTATGTGTGTGTGTTTTCGACTAAATTGCTACTTTGGTTTTCCTAATTAATTGCATTATACCTAAACTACTTAGCTTACTTTCCATGAAATTTATTTGCATAACAGCCGTTTGTTTTTGTTTTTTTTTTGCGCATTACAAATTTATCGATACTATATGAAACCCTTAAAAATTACATATGTGTGTGTATGTAGTTTTCCTTCAACTGAAACGAATGCTTCTACGCCTAAAAGGTTTTAAAATTATTTTCGTATTTTTACAATTAATAAATAATTTCTCTTGAGTATTCACTGTTTACGGTGTAATAATTATTTTCTAAGTAAAATGTGTTAACTTTTAATATTTACAGTTTTATTATATATCTATGTTGGTTTTTAATATATCGTCAATGCCTAAAAGTATGCAAATATATGTACGTTTATTCATTTGGCAGCTTAATATTGAATGCATTTTTGAGTTCTTTCTTTTGGTTAGGGCTGGCGTGGGGAAAATTCCAAAATTTACACTAGTTTACCAAAACTTTTTTTATAACAATTTGTTGTTGCGAATGTGGTATGATTTTTGAGATTTTTTTTATTTATTTGATATTCATTATGCATTTATTTTAAACCACCAAAATTGGGGCTCATGTTGTACGCTATTTTGCTACCTTTAGGCTGCACGAGTAGAAAGAAATATTTTTATAGTTTAATTTGGGAATTTCTAAATAATATTGCTAACTACAAGCACGACTATGATTAATGGTTAAGTCTTAATTTTTATTTTAATTATATATGTTTTTTTTTAATTTTCCTAGAACACCGCAATGTGTAAACATGTGGTTGCGCCTAAATGTGGGCTACGTGTTTACAAATGTTTTTAAAAGGTTTTTAATACATACTATTTGTATTATTTATATATATGCTCTCACATTTTTTACAAATTTACATATTTACATATATGTATATATATTTTTTAATATTTCACTCTCCCCAAGCAGCCATGGCAACACAGTTAGCTTTACTCAGCAGAAGAAAAAAAAAATTTTTTTTTTGTTATTTACTTTAGTCTTTTTCGCTACTCGAAAGCTTTAATAATTGTACGTATACGCACCCCTAAAAGTATGCAAGCGCGTTGGCACTTGTTGGAATATATGTTTTTCTTTAAAAGTGTGTACTCGACGTATGGTTTCAGCTCGTAACTTTTATAATTTTAATTTTTTTACCTTTTCACTTATTTTTGCTTTTAATTGTTGTGGGTGTTTTTCTGATATTTTCTGGGTATTTTTTATTATTTCTTTTTTCTGTACAAAACACGCTTTGTTCGAAACATAATTGCTGCTCACAAATGTAGACTACAAAAAATAAAAATTTCATGTTTTTCTTTGCATTTAGTATTTTATTCAAATTGCGCGTGTCTCATGCATTTGTTGCATAATTACTGGCGCAGGTGTACGTATGAGGATGTGTAAAGCAATTAGAAATGTCACAATTGCGAAAAATGAGTGGTATGCTTATGTTTGTGTGCACTCAGGCGTGTAGAAGTACGCATATGAGTACTCTTATTTTGTGAAGTGCACAGAAAGTAATTGAGAATACAGAAAAAATTGGGGTATAATTTTAGACGTTTGAATTTAAAATGTAAGTAAATAAATATATGCGGCAAAGGCATAGAAGCTTTAAGCTTAATTTAGAACTTGGATTAAGATTATTTGTTGTTAAAAACTGAAATATATAAGATTTTATTGAAATATTTGTACTAATGTCAGTTGAACCCCAACCATCCTCGACATGGTTGTGTTTAAGCCTTACGGCTTCAGACCTGAGAGATCCACTATGAGCCAAATATTCAGCATGTGGTACACCTTCAGCACCCTTCCCCTCTCCCTCTCTTTAATTTTGAAGTTCCCTTCACCATAAATGACGCTGCTTCTGTGCCGCCACTTCTCAGTTTAATATTTTTGCAGGACTCAACTGGCTATGTAAACAACAACAACAGGGCAAATTTAATAGGAGAATTCTAGACAATTTCTTTTTAGTTTAACGTTGTTAGCCGAGCTTTTGTGAAAGATTTGGACTTTAAAAACGTAGAATTAAGAGTAATACTGTGTATGTATAGGCGAAGGCTTTTACTGTAGACAATGGAATTAAGCGAATGCAGCTAGATCTTTTCCCTCCAACTCTCGAAGTTATCGATGTGGTGCCAACCGCTGGAAATAGGGGGAAAGAGAGTTCTCTACTCTGAGGGGACAAAAACCAAACAAGCGGAGAAGGATGTATCTTTACTTGGAGTCTTCAAGAAGAAACGAACTGAACTATATTTCTGATTTGATTACAGAATTGTACCAATAAAGAAGAAAAAGAAGGTATTGGCATTAGTTTATGAGAGTTGGTCTTATATACGTAAACCCAGGTGGAGGTTCAACTCAATTGGAGCTAAATTGGTCGAAGTGTAGGATATCAACCATCTTGGGAAGTGTTCAAGATACCTTAATTTTGACACTTTCCATAGTCCTTTGAGTTGCGAAGCTTACAGATATCTGCATCAAATTCCATATACGGTCAGATAGAAGAAAGCAGCGGAGTTGCTCCAATTCTCTCATTCATGCCATTCGCTGCCTGTCATTAGATCCTAAGCTTTTCTGTTCCCTTTTCGAGGTTATGTAAGCAAGAGATTTTTGTATTTTCCTACGCCGTACACCAACACCACAGCATTAAATTTAATTTTAAGTCGTCTGACAGTCTTTTCCGAAATTTCAGTTCATATCATTTTTAGCAATATTTTTTTTTGCATTTTATATAATTTTTGCGCAACTAGACGACACTTTTGGCTTTCTCACCAACTACTACCCATAAAGTTATGGTGGCCTGGAAAACAGTTTAAATGCGATTGCTGCCCTGCTGCCACTTTATTCGCTGCCTTTTTGCTTTTAGGAATATTTCTGGACTCTTCTGCTTTAATACAACTTTTCTGTGCTGGGATGTGAATTGCTCTATCGGTTATGAAGCGCTAATCACACAGCATAAACGAAGCCTTTAATTTTTTTTAGAGATATTCAGAGAAAGCGAAACCAATATTTTTGCTTACATTAATAACGGTGCAAGTAGAGGTTGCTGACCTAATTGTCAAATTCCTCAGCTAACTGTGCTGCCTACCATCGTTCGTAAAGTGTTTTTTTTAGATATGTGATTTTCATGAAGAAACCACTGAAAATCACACGTCTCAAAAAACACCATTTATCTACTTAAATTAATGACTAATTATTTATTATAATTACACTAACGATAATTTTTACTTTATATATTATATGCTAATTAATTTTTGTAAAATTTCTCTAACTTCGAATTTCACTTATTCATTTTTATTTTTAATTTTATTATTTAGATCAATATTTCGTAACTAGATTTCTTACTTTCGGTGAATGCAGATGTAGATTCGGAGACTTAGAAATGCGTTTCAAATACCTGTAAGGAGAAAAATTTAATGAGTTTTTTTAGCCAAGAACGGATGTTAGATAAAAATATAAAAATATGGGAAAATAAAAAATAATAAATTTACATCCAGAAATTCATTTAAAAAACTCCATAAATGAGCAAGCATACGATTTTTTGCCTTATTTTTATTTTTATTTTTATTTTTAAAAATTATATTTTTATTTACTTGTTTTTATTTATTTATTTTCTTTATTTATTTATTTTCTTTATTTATTTATTTTTTTTTTATTTATTTATTTTATTTATTTATTTTTTTTACTTATTTTTTTTAATAACTTCTGCCTCAATCCATACATTTTCTAAACAACGCGCTTTCTTTGCCATTTCTGAAATTATTTTAAAGAAAAAGAAATGACAAATCCAGTCATTCACAAAAATTGCTTACTCTGCATAATTTGTTGTTGCGGCCATGCTATATTATAATTTTTGTTATAAGTATTAAGTAAACTAAAAGGCCTGGTTGTTTGTATGAATTGAATATTTTTGTATCACAGAAAGAAAAATGGTAGAAGTGACAGCTGCTTCGGAGATCACCACATCTCATCATCAAACTTCTTATGGAGGGATCGAGCCAACCGATACTGACTGCGTTTAAAATGAACTCTATATATTATATAATTAGTGATTTGTAACCGCTGAAGTGATTTTCGGCAAAAGCTCCTTCCTACAATTCGTGGTTTTTGCGTCTAGATGTTTATCCAACAAATGGAGGGACTTACAGTTTATACTAGGCCGCCTCCGAATGGCTGATGATTTTTTATGAGGAGCTTTTTGATTTTCATGTCAGAAATACACGCGGAGGGGTTGACATTCCCTGCTGAGGGGCGACCACAATTAGAAAATTTAACTTAATTTTTTATTTCCGAAAATTTATTAAATGAGTTGGAAAGTAATGCCACAAAATATTATATAAATTTATCAATAAAAATCAATGCAAAATGGTACATATAAATTTGCGTCAAATAGAACCACAAAGTAATCTGCCTTTAATAACCGAAATAATTACGCTGACTTTTTTTGATTACATTTTTTTATTTTAAATTTTTTTTTGCTTTGAAATTGTATATGCTTTCAAACACAAACCACACAGTAAAAGGCACAAAATTCATGTATAGACCAGAACACGAAGCCTTTCGGACAAACATATCCGTTTACGTCTGGCCAGCAGACGGTTGCATTTGAAATTGACCGTAATTAAGTGAATAAAAATCATTAAGTCGAATTCGGGTGAAATTCTATATGCGAAAAGGTCCAAAAGGAAATTCAACTTAGCAGAAGCCGAATTAACTTAATAAGAACATGTTAAAAAGGCTTAAAAAACAATAAATAAATTTAGGGAAAAAATTAAAGAAAGACAATGTTGAGCTAATTGACTAAGTGCTCAAGATTTTGCTCGAACATTTTTGTGTGACTCGAAATTTTTTTTTTATATATTTTATATGCAACAGGGCATTAGTCAAATACTTTCACCTAACCTTCATAGAAAATAATTAAATAAGTAATGTCAACAAAGAAGACCTAATTATTTTATATGGAAAATAATGCAGATAACAAAAGATATAAGTAAAAAATATGAGAAAACATTAAAGTAAAGAAGTTAAAAAATAATATTAGAAATTACAGTAATCCCAGAAGAAGGAATAATAAAAAGAATAATATTTATTACTTCTAATCCATCACGCGACCACATTAAAACACCAAAAACTTGAGCAAACCACGTTGAAACATTACACAATAAATTACACAAAATTTAAATTGAAAACTTAATTCCACATAAATACAACCCAAAATAGCCTTTTAAGCTTAACAAGCCCACAAACGAGCAGTAAACAAGAAGAAACTACAATATCTGTAGATATTTGAGCGCAAAGCTAAAGTGAGTGGGAGGTAGCCAAGGCGCCATAGCACTTATTTATCCGTATGAAATGTGTATTTCAATGTAAATATGTACAATACAACATGTATATTTAGCAAGAAATCCATTTTTCTCAACAATTGAATGAATAACGAAACAAACAAACGGCCGCGTTGAGTCGTTGCTTTGCACACTTAACATTTATTTGAACAAACATCATCAGTTGTCACGTGCCGCATGACCAACTACCGAGAAGCCAGGAAAATAATGACAAATATTGTTCTGAGCATCATTTTATCATAAGGAGTACCGAAAATGCGTAGACACTACATAGCAAATAAATTAGTATTTTGGCAGAGCGTGGCACAGTCAACACAAAACCTAGATACAAATGAAAAACTAGCCGCTCAGATATATAAAAGTTTAACCACATAAAAAAAAATAACAATAATAATTTTCCAATTTATTTCTAAACAAAATTCTCACCAAAAATTCATGCCACTTTGATTTACCTTTAAAATTATGAAATTTCTCTCATTTCGCTTATTGGGTTGATGGGTTATGCCAGCATCCCATGGTGTAAAGTACTTATTCACTTTGACTGGCTCATAATGTAAATTGCTTTTTTGTGGTGTCCGTAAGAAAGCTTTCATATTTTTCTCTTTTTCTAAGTATTTACAAAAATAAATTTAAACTTAAATGACACTGTAATGAAAATGGACTTTAACTTTTCCGATTTACAGTGTGTTGCTTTTTATATTTGTAACTGATTTTTGTATGTGGTAACCATGAAGGACGAAATTTTTCTAAACTTTTTTGCAGCATTTTTGTTTTGCGCACATAATTTTTTTTCTTATTTTATTATACTTTATTCTTCTTTATTTTGTTTTATTTTATTTTATTTTGCTTTATTTTATTTTATTTGCCTTATTTACTTTTATTTTTTTTATTTTATTCTATTTTATTTGGTATATTATATTTAATTCAATTTATAGTTATTTTACTTTTAGGTTATTTTTTTATTTTATTTTACTTTATTTCATTTAATTTTATTTTATTTTATTTTCTTTTCTTTATTATATTTAATTTTATTTTTAGTTCGCTTTTTTACTTTATTTTTATTTTGGTTTATATTATTTTATTTTATTTTACTTTATTATATTTTATTTAATTCTTTTATATTTAAGTTAATATAATTCAATTTTATTTTATATTATTTTATTTTATTTTATCTTATTTTATTTTATTTTATTTTATTTATTTTTTTGTTTTATTTTATTTGATATTATTTTATTTCTTTTTAATTTAATTTTTTTAGTTTATCATTTTATTTTAGTTAATTTTTTTGCTATACTATTTTCATTTTTTTTTGTTATTTCATTTTATTTTATTTTATTTTATTTTATTTTATTTTATTTTATTTTATTTTATCTTATTTTATTTTATTTTATTTTATTTCATTTTATTAATAATTTTTTAGAAAAGAAATAAAGTTGTAATCGTAAAGTAATATAATATACCTTATTTAATAAATACTTAAAAGCGGATCACGAATTGTCGTTGACAACAACAACAGAAATGAAGGAAACGCAGAAAATCAGATATCAAAAAGATTATGTAGATGCCTCCATTTCTTTTATTTGCTTTGAGGGTTTATACGAGTGTATGCATCCAACCATAACTGATTACAAATGTATGTACGTATATATGTGTATGTTCCTTTTTGTTAGTATTAACTGTCAGTTTGTTAGCGAAACAAAGAATATTGCGTAGAGCCAACAGATTTGAGCTACCACACTAGAGAAAGAGCAGATAAAGCAATGAAGTGGCACATATACATATAGTGTATATACAGAAATATATATGTGCACATAAGCGCACAATTTGCATACACGTATATGGCCTATAGGCATAAGCAGCAGCCGCAGCAGTAGGTGCGGAATAATAGGAATTGTGTGAGTCAAGTGGCCGCAAGGATCAGTCAACCAAGCAGCAAGCAGCATCAATGAAGACAGCTGTAGCGCATTAACATACACACAGACATATATATAAGGGTATTTACAGCAAAATCCATGCTTGAATTTATATGTATATTTACATATACGCATACGCATACACATGCGCATATATAAATATACAATTTTATTATTTGCTGTGATGACATAATAAACACAAACTGACAAGCTGCCTTCTCAATGGGATGCGTCCACGCAGGAGGGGAAAGTGTGAAATGTAAATAAATAAATATTGCGGATTTTCGTTGATGAATGTGCGTGGTGTGGCTTACTACGGTTTTCGCGTATTTTGGCTGTAGTTGTGGTTTTCATCGGTTGGTTGTGGGCGCATAACCACACATCTGTATGCCAGATTTGTTTTAAAAAAATCTCTTGTAAATATTTTCTTTACATGAAATCGGTCTTGTTTTTGAGGTTTGAACAAGCCAAGCCATATAAAAGAATAATAAACTTTGTATAGAAAATATTTTCTTCCAATTTTACAATTTAGGCATCTCTGCTTAGATATGAGGGCTGGTAAGTAGGTATTGTTGACTGAAGTGAGTTAAGAGAATCGGTTACCCTTCCGACTTCACGTAGAAGGCTCTCCAATAAATCAGTGCCTGAGGTGGTACTGTAAGTGAGTGAAAACCTACTTCGTGGAGAGAATTTCACAGCGAAGCTGAGACGCTGGTGGATGCTCTAATGTTCATTATCCCAGAAAAATTGTTTTTCTTTTAATTATTATGACAAACAGGAATCTCTAAATCTGCATTTAACATTTTTAATTTTTGTGTTTGGAAAATAAATAAGACCGCATTCGCTTTAAGTTTTACCAGTCCATTCAGTTACAACGAGCTTGGTTATTAAATGCTTCATTACCATACAAAAAAAAATATTACAAAAGATGCCTCTAAGTATTTCAGATTTCCTGGAAAATCTTTAAAAATATATCTTCGATGAGTTCTCACTGACTGACTTTAAAAATAATTTGGCCATCCTCAACACATTCTCTTCATCTGCTAAGCGTAGTTCAATGCACATGCAAGCTCACTTTCCGTCATATTTTGCATTTTCCTTTTACTTCTTTTTACGTCTCTTTATAAATTGACATTTCATTT